ATTTTTTTTCTGATCAGGAACAACTTTCATAAAATAGCCACACATAAAGATACAATTTTTCATACTTCACAGAATAAAATGTTAAATGAATATTTGGGCTGTTTTAAAATAGAGTTGTTTTGAGTCCATCCATCCATCCATTTTCTTCCGCTTATATGGGGTCGGGTCACGGGGGTAGCAGCCTAAGTAGGGAGGCCCAGACTTCCCTCTACCCAGCCACATGGGCCAGCTCTTCAGGGGGAATCCCGAGGCGTGCCAGCCGAGAAACATAGTCCCTCCAGCGTGTCCTGGGTCTTCCTCTGGGCCTCTTCCCGGTGGGACGTGTCCGGAACACCTCACCAGGGAGGCGTCCAGGAGGCATCCTAAACAGATGCCTGAGCCACATCAACTGGCTCCTCTCGATGTGGAGAAGCAGCGGGTCTACTCTGAGTCCCTCCCGGATGATTGAGCTTCTCACCCTATCTCTAAGGGAGAACCCAGACACCCTGCGGAGAAAACTCATTTTGGCTGCTTGTATCCGAGATCTCATTCTTTCGGTCACAACCCAAAGCTCATGACCATAGATGAGGGTAGGAACGTAGATCGATCGGTAAATTGAGAGCTTCGCCTTTTGACTTAGCTCTCGCTTCACCACGACAGACCTGTACAGCGCCTGCTTCACTGCAGATGCTGCACCTATCCGCCTATCAAACTCATGCTCCATTTTTCCCTCATTCGTGAACAAGACCCCAAGATACTTGAACTCCTCCACTTGGGGTAGGACCTCCTCCCTGACCCGGAGAGGGCACTCTACCCTTTTCTGGCTCAAGACCATGGCCTTGGATTTGGAGGAACTGATCTCCATCCCGGCCGCGTCGCACTTAGCTGTAGATCATGATCTGATGAAGCCAAAGGACCACATCATCTGCAAAAAGTAGAGACAAAATACTAAGGCCACCAAAACAGATCCCCTCAACTAGGGCATTAACAGAGTACTTGAGTAATCTACACATTGATTGCTAGGACATCTATCAAGGTTAAAAATGTAACGTCGAGTAACCGTAGTGACGTCATATTATGTGACCACCGTATGACCGTAGGGGGCGGTGTTGCAATGTTGCAGGTCACAGAGTATGGTGTAACACCGGGTCCAATCCACCGAACCAGAACCAGCTTCCTCTGACATTGTTTCACAAACAAAAAGCAAAAAATATTAATCTCTAAACCTATAAAAAAATCTATAAACATATTAATCTCTAAAACTAACCTTAATGCGCACCACATCTGGCGGTGGTGCGGGGTGGTCACCCCCCCCCCACACACACACACGTTACGTTTCGTTTTTGATGTGCTGCACGTTTCTTCACGTTTGCAGTTTAATAATAATAACTAATAGTTAAGTTTTTCCTGTGACTTATTTGCAGTATGATAAATGGTAGGAGCATAATATACGCTCCCAATGTTTTGTTGGTCTTTTTTTTTTTTCTAATTAATTACCTTTTTTGTGGTTTTATTTATTTATTTATTTTTATATCTTGAGATCTATGACGTCATCAAATACTCGAGTTCTACTCGGGTTTTATTATGTTAATGTCGAGTTTAAAAATTATATACTCGTTCAACCCTTACCCTCAACACCTTGGCTGCGCCTAGAAATTCTGTCCATAAAAGTTATGAACAGAATCGGTGACAAAGGGCAACCTTGGTGGAGTCCAACTCTCACCGGGAATAAGCCCGACTTACTGCCAGCAATGCGGACCAGGCTCTGACACCGGTCATACAGGGACCTAACAGCCTGTATCAAAGGGCCCGGTACCCCATACTCCCAGAGTGCTCCCCACAGGGTTCCCGAGGGACACGGGAATGCCTTCTCCAAGTCCACAAAGCACATGTAGACCGGTTGGGCAAACTCCCACACACCCTCCAGGACCCTGCTGAGAGTGTAGAGCTGGTCCAGTGTTCCACGGCCAGGACGAAAACCACACTGCTCCTCCTGAATGCGAGGTTCGACTATCCGATGGACCCTCCTCTCCAGAACCCCCAAATAGACCTTATCAAGGAGGCTTAAGAGCGTGATTCTCCTGTAGTTGGAACACACTCTACGGCCCCCCTTTTTGAATAGGGGGACCGCCACCCCGGTCTGCCAATCCAGGGGAACTTCCCCCGATGTCCACACAATATTGCAGAGTCACGTAAGCCAACACAACCCTACAACATCCAGAGCCTTAAGGAACTCCGGGCGAATCTCATCCACCCCCAGGGCCCTACAACCAAGGAGCTTTTTAACCACCTCGGTGACCTCAGCACCAGAGATTAGAGGGCTCGAGCCAGAGTCCCCAGGCTCCGCTTCCTCAGTGGAAGACATGCCGGTGGGATTGAGGAGGTCTTCAAAGTATTCTGCCCACCAACTCACAACATCCCGAGTTGAGGTCAGCAGCACACCTCCCCCACTATAAACAGTGTGTTGGTGGCGTCCCCCCCCCCCCCAATATGCTGGATGGTGGACCAGAATCGCCTCGAAGCCGTGCGAAAGTCATTCTCCATGGCCTCTCCGAACTCATCCCATGCCCGAGTTTTTACCTCAGCGACCACCCGAGCCGCATGTCGTTTGGACTGCCGGTTCCCATCAGCTGCTTCTGGGGTCCCACAGGCCAAAAAGGCCCGATAGGACTCCTTCTTCAGCCTGACAGCATCCCTCACTGACGGTGTCCACCATCGGGTTCGAGGGTTGCCACCGCGACAGGCACCAACAACCTTGTGGCCGTAGCTCCGGTAAGCCGCCTCGACAATAGAGGCACGGAACATAGTCCACTCAGACTCAATGTCCCCCACCTCCCCCGAAACATGTTCGAAGTTCTCCCGGAGGTGGGAGTTAAACCTCCGTCTCACAGGAGACTCTGCCAGACGTTCCCAGTAAACCCTCACAATATGTTTGGGTCTGCCAGGTCTGACCGGCATCCTCCCGCACCATCGGAGCCAACTCACCACCAGGTAGTGATCAGTGGACAGCTCCCCCCCTCTCTTCACCCGAGTGTCCAAGACATGTGGCCGCAGATCAGATGAGACGATGACAAAGTTGATAATCAAACTGCGGCCTAAGGTGTCCTGGTGCCAAGAGCACATATGGACAACCTTATGCTTGAACAAGGTGTTCGGTATTGACGATCCATGACGAGCACAGAAGTCCAACAAAAAAACACCACTTGGGTTCAGATCAGGGGGGCCGTTCCTCCCAACCACACCCCTCCAGGTCTCACTGTCATTGCTCACATGAGCATTGAAGTCCCCCAGCAGAACAAGGGAGTCCCCAGGAAGTGCACTTTCTAGTACCCCCTCCAAGGATTATTTTGAGTACTTAGGAATAATGACTATTTTATCTACTGTGGATATCTCTACGGCCTCATTTTGGAGAAACAGTTTAGATTTAATCAGATTGGTGAACTAATGGCTAGTCCAAAGAGAGCCAAGACGATGTAAATGTTTTAAATAATGACACTCATTTATAACACTTTTTTTTCTGAATATGGAAGTTGAAGACAACAGCAATCCACGTTGCACAAATTTGTTGTCATCCTGGTCCACCTCTTATTCTCCAAACTGAGACTGTTCAAAGAGCTGAGTACATTAGGTATAAGAAGTTACTTGTTCCACACTTTTCTACAAAACTACATTTCCAAACTGGCCTTATTATATTTTTTAACATAAAAATAAAAACATATTGAAATTAAATGCAATAAAATATTAGAGATTAAAGTTGCTTTAAATATATAAATAAAGAAAATGATTCAGTGAAGATAATATATTTATTGCCAGCTCACAACAAAAGTCCTCTCAGGATTTGGATTCTGTGAAGTATCCTCTCAGGATACTTCACAGAAACTACATGGACAATGCATTTTGTTTCTCTTTTTTAGTCTAAAGAGACATTAAAGGGTAAGTAACTCTGTATATATTATAAATTTCAGTAAATCTCAAATTCAGGGATTTAGTCATATTAAAAGGCCTTTCAAAAATAAATAAATAAAAACAAAATAGATTGGTAGGAAATTGTGTAGAGGTCCAAGGGTAAAATGGGGTCATGTCCCTTCATGCTACACAGTCCAGTTCAGTCTCTAATCCACATATAGTACATTTTAGTTGAAGCCACTTAATTCCAATTAAATCAACATTAATTTAATCCTGTAAAATTCATCCATTTAGTAATTTCAAAAAGCTAGTTAATGTTTTTTTTTAGTTTTTTTTTTAGCTAACAAACTGATGTGGTTGCGTTCAATCTTCAATTTATCCCTCGGTCCTCTGCAGAACAGAGGAGTGAATTGAAGAGAGGAAGAGGAGGAGGCAGACAGGAAAGTCATTTTTTTAACAAGAAACCCCTCCAGCTGGACCAGACTCAGGATGTACAGACATCTCTACCAGCACTGAGAGGAAGGGAAGTGACAGAGACACACAAGCAAATTGTTACATCTCAAGAAGAGCTGCAAGAAAACTGTGACAATGGAAACATTGAGAAAAATAATTAAATAAAACGAAAAATCTCTAGGTCGACAGGGTGGCACAGTTGGTAGAGCTGCTGCCTTTTGACGAGAAGGTCACCGGATCTAATCCCGGCCGATGGGCCATTCTGGGTGGAGTTTGCATGTTCTCTCTGTGCATGTGTGGATCTTCTCCAGGTACTCTGGTTTCCTCCCACAGACCAAAAACATGCATGTTAGGCTGATTGGTAACTCTAAATTGTTCCTAGGTGTCAAAGAGAGAGAATAGTTGTTGTCTCGTTTGTCTCTATGTGCCCCTGTGATGGACTGGAGACCTGTCCTGTCCTGTCGCACAGTGTCTGCTGGATATGGACACCAGTGACCCCACAACCCAAAAATGAAGAAGCGTGTAAAAATATAGTGGATGGATCTTTTTTTTTTTTTTTTCCTCCTGTAAATTGAAATATCTGCCTTCAAATACTTTAGAAAACAAAATATGTAACTTACCTGTGAACCAGATAAGCCACGGGTACCTGGGAAACCAGGAGGTCCCTGTGGACAGAAAGTATTTACATAAGCATTATTAATAATCTGAGACAAGCACAATGAACAAGTAAACACAACAAAAACAAGCATATACATGTCTCATTAAAACAATTTTGCTTTTACTTTTTAAACTTGTGTTTTGACTACTGCATTGACCATTACAACAAATAGCGTTCATGTTCTGGGAGATAGAGGTAAACAGTTGTCAATCACAATCTGCACATTTCTACTGAACCAGTAGGCGGCTCTGTAAACACATGGGAGATGACAATTGTATCAAATCACGTCAAATGTAAGCTTTAAGACGAACACCCTGCCGTGCTATTATAGAATACTGATGATTAGGACATTATTATTTTTCCTTAAGTAACTTGGTCAAACCGATGCACGGATAATAAAGCACTTAAAAAAACAACACTTCTAAAATTCAGCAGATTCGATTTTCAAGATGGTGAAATGGGTGCCATGTTGGCACAGTTCGTACAGATGCCACCTCTCAGCGAGAAGGTCACCAGATCGAATCTCGGCCGGGATCTTTGTGGGTGTAGTTTGTATGTTCTCTCTGTGCATGCGTTTTTTTTTTTTTTTCTGAGTTCTCCGGTTTCCTTCCACAGACCAAAAACATGCATGCTAGGCTGATTGGTAACTCTAAATTGTCATTAGGTGTGAGTGAGAGAGTGAATGGTTGTTTGACGTTATGTGGCACTATGATGGACTGAGACTTGTCCATGGTGTTCGCTATCTCTTGCACAGTGACAGCTGGATATGGAGACAAGATGTCCATGACCAGAAAAGGAAGAAGTGGGTAAAATATGCACTATAGACACATGCAGTATGTAAAGACTCCCAAACTTCTTTTTTTTTTCTCAAGTTTTGTAAAACAGCCTCTTGAATAAAACAAGAAAATTGTTGATATCTGTGTTTTGGACATCTGACACATCAAAACTGTTAACAAGATGGCTTTTTCCATTTCCTTTATCCCTCAGTTAAAATAAAACCTTACCATTATTCCATGTGTTCCAGGTGTGCCTCTTTCACCAGGTGGGCCCTGAAATAAAGAAATGTAAATAATAGGTAATTTATTTTTCCCTCGCCAAGCCTTATTGGATATCTGAGCTTTAACCTATAACCGTACAGGTTCCCCTTTGGATCCTGGTTGTCCAGGCATTCCTGGAGCTCCAGGAGCTCCTCCAGTGACGGATCGATCACCCTATGAGGCAAAAAAAGTAAGATCTAGAGAGGCTTGTATTCATATTTTGGACCTCCTTAATTCATTTATGATACAATTTGAACTATTCAATTCAATTCAGATTATTTATATAGCACCAAGTCTCAAAATAAGTCATCTCAGGGCACTGAACAGAAACATTCATATATA